TGTGTGTGTGTGTGTGTGTGTGTGTGTGTGTGTGTGTGTGTGTGTGTGTAGGCATGGTTGTGTGCAAGCATGAGAATGTGGGCCAAATGGCGAGAGCAAGCTAAGTGCTTATGAGCACATTGTGGTTTGGGAAGAGTTGATATGCAGCTATTCAAGGTGTGAGGCCGGGTGTGTGGGAATCTCAGAGCCCAGGTAGGGAGAGGTGAAGCCACGAGGAACAGGAGAAGAGGTCTGGAGGAGAGGTCGGCGAGCAGGGCAAGTCAGAGCGATGGGATGAGGGGAGGAGGGGGTAGGTAAGTAAGACAAGAGACTGGCGGAGAGCATGGTGGCAGGGACAGTGACAGGACCACGGGAGGGGCTTCTGGGCACGGCTGGGAAGTAAAAAGGGAGGCTGGTAGGAAGAAGGGAAGACCTGAGGACGGAAGAGAGGGTCTGCAGACATCTGAACGACCTGTCAGAGGTGACAGGAGGGAAATGACAGGGACGAGGGCCGGGGGGTTGGGGAGGGGGGGTCTGTGCGGGGGCTGGGAGCAGCTCCAGGCCTCAGGCTGTGGCCCAGGCAGTGTAGGCCAGCGTCCCGGCTCCTAGCGGCGGCGGAGCCGAGCCCTGGGAGGTGAGCCCGGCGGGAGGCCCGATGTACCCCAGGAAGGACCCCCGGCCCACCCTCCGGGCCCCGCCCCGCCTCACCTGCTCGGTGTCCGCTGCGGCTGCGGCTGCGGCTGCGGCGGCGGTGAAGGCAGCGGCGCGGGGCGGCGCATCCCCCGGGGCCGGGGCGGGGCGGGGGCGGCTCAGTGCGGCGCTGGGCGGCCCGCTCCCTCCGGCGGCGGCGGCGGCGGTGGCCTCCCGACCCCGACCATCCCGGCCCGGCCCGGCCCTGCCCGGATCCTCCTCGGGCGACGGCGGCAGCGGCGGCGGCAGCAGCGGAGTGGGGAGCTGCCCACAATGCACCGCGCCGCCAGCATCAGCACCAGCCCTGACATCACCGCCCCACCGCCCTGGCCCTTACATCACTGCCGTTTTTTTTTTCTGACATCACGTTCCACTCTGCCCCCCTAGACCCTGCACGGGAACTCTCCTATGGTCTCGTTACAGCTACGAGGTTCTCTTAACTGATCTATGCCGTTCACTTGACCTTCCTTACCTGTTCCCAGAAACCTCTCTTGTCTCCATCACCTTTTATCTCTCCACTTCCCAGAATATCCCCTTTACTCCTCACCTGACCCCATTAGCCTCCCCTGACCCCCGATTCCATCCTCCACGCAGCCACCGTACTTGCTCTTAAGCCTTCTCCTCAACCTGTACTCGTTCTTCCCACACAGCTTTATCATAGACTTCTAACAGCACCCCACATCAGGACATACTACCCCTCACCTGTAACCGCCTCCTCACCGAGTACTTGCCTTCTCTCCTGGTTTACCTGCTCTTTATCTGGCCCTTCCTTCCAACTGTTGACAGACTCAGTCACTCTTTCTTATTGCTTACTAAATAAGATACAGATTCTTTACTGTGACATTAAAAACCCTTCCCAACATGTGCTCACAAGGCTATCACTCTCCTGACAGATGGGGACTCCTCAGTATTCTCTGAATATACCCTGCACTTTGCCTCTCTCGGTTCCTTCCCCTGTTGCTTATACCCTCAACAAATGCAGAGGGAGCGTCTTCAAGAGCAACAGTAACAGCAGCGGGCACACCTGCCAGACACATTAGCTTATTTAAGCTCTATAAATACCCTAGGAAGAAAGAGCGCTCACCGTGCAAGCTTACAGACCCACACTTGGGTCCTGGCACCAGAGTAAAAGGCCAGGAGCTGTGGTGGGTGTCTCGAGACCCAGCGCCAGGGAAAACAGACAGTGAAATCCTTAGAGCTTGTTGTTGGGCAATCTAGCTTCAGGGTCACTGAAAGAAGAGACCCCATCACAAAGCAATAAAGAGGACACACACGCACACACACACATGAGCACACACACACATACACACAGAGAGAGAGACACACAGAGAGAGGCAGAGAGAGAGACAGCTGGAAAGATAACTCCATGGGGTAAAAGTGTTTGTCTCAGAGACCTGACGACCTAAGTTCTGTTCATAGAACTCACGGTGGTAGGAGAGAACCAACTCCCAAAAAACGTTTCTGACTTTCACATATGCACTAAAGCATATATACACAACCCAGCATGCACACATCCTCACCCATATATACAAGCCATGCACACACATGATAATATAACAATTATAATACATTTTAAAGGAAAAATGAAATGATGTTTTCAGGAAAGTAGATGCCCCTGAAATCATCGTGTTAAGTGAATAAGCAGATGCAAAAAGACAAATACTTCGTGTTTTCTGTCAAATGCAGAACCTCGTCTGGCAGTGTAGAAAGGAGACTGAGGCCCAACCGGGGCTTGAGATCAATCCCCAGCCCCACGTGCTGGAAGAAGAGAAGCAAGTCGTGAAGGTTGTCCTCTGACCTCCACGCATGTTCCGTGGCATGGAAACACGCGTGCACGCACACATGCACATGTGAAAATATTTCTAAAATTTTGTGTGTCATGAAACTAGAGAGCAGCCCTTGAAAGAGGCTGAAGAGATCCTAAGGGGCGTGGGGAGTAGAGAGGGTGATGGAGTAGGTGTGTGTGATGAGGAAGCAGAGGGGGGATTGGAGGAATCCAGCCAATAGGGGACAGTTTGTGAGGTGAGGGTAGCAGGGGTCGGATACTGAACAAGACTAAAATGTGGTCACACATATGTACAAAAATGGCCTCATGAGATCTCTTTCTTCATGTGTTATGGCTTCTTTCATGCGCTAACCTTTAATAAGAAAAGGTGAGGCAGACACAGCTGGGAAAATGCTTGCTACTCAAGCAGGAGAACCAGAGATTCCTCGCACTCAACCCCCACAGGAAAGACAAAGCTAGGTCTACATCGTGGGCTGCAATCCCAGAGCTGCTGTGGTGACAGGAGAGTCCCTGGGGTTTACTGGCCAGCTAGTTTAACAAAGCTGGGGGACTCAGGGTTCAGTGAGATACTCTCTCAACAAATAAGATGGAAAGCCATTGAGGAAGACGCCTGATATCAACCTCTGGCCTCTACACACACACACACACACACACACACACACATAGAGACAGAGAGAGAGACAGAGAGACAGAGACAGAGAGACAGAGAGAGACAGAGACAAAGAGACAGAGACACAGAGACACAGAGACAGGGACAGAGATGGAGAAAATGAAAGAGAGACAGAGACACACAGACAGAATGATAATTTTTTTTTTAAATCTAGGCCAGTATGTTTTAATCCCAGCACTCAGGAGGCAGAGGCAGTTGGATCTCTGTGAGTTGGAGGCCCCCTGGTCTTCAAAGGGAGTTCCAGGAGAGCCAGGGGTACACAGAGAAACCCTGTCCTGAAAAACAAAAACAAAAACAAAAACATCTTCTATGTCTCCTGGGGCTGGGAAGCAGCTCAAGTGGTATGGTGCCTGCTTTGCAAGCTCAAAGCTCTGAATGAAATCCCTGCTTCCCTCCTCCCCAGACTGTCTCCATTTCTACTTAATATGTCCATTTTTTCTTGTAACTTTCAAAGCATGAAATAGTCACAATAACTGCTTTAATGTACTTGTCTGTTAGCTTCATTGTCTGAGTAATTTCTGGGTAATTTCATTTTAACTTATCTTCTGAGCATGGGTCATATACTTTTCTGTTTATTTCCATGTTTAGTATTTTTTCAACATTAAAAAAAACTTTTTTAAATACAAAAGAAAACAAAAACCAGGGTCTTGGGGCTGGAGAAGTGGTCTCAGCGATCAGGGGTTACCCTTGTTTGTTGTTGCTGTTTGGAGTTTTGTTTTCTAGTTTGTTCTATTGTTGTTATATTTGCTTTTATTTGAGAGATTTTGTTTTTCATCCAGACATCTCTCACTGGGTACCTGGGTCGCTCCTGTAACTTGTCCACTGTGTACAGCACTGAAAAATATGTGGAGTGTCCCTGCTGCTTAATCTGATTTAAATGCCTTTTAAAAAAAGATTTTATTTACTTATTTTATCCGTGTAAGTCTGTGCAGACTGCTGGACCTGAGAGGAACTGTATCAGATCCCATAGAACTGGAGTCACATGCAGTTGTTAGCCACCACATGGGTTCTGGGAATCGAATCCTGGTCCTCTGGAAGAGCAGCCAGTTTGTTTAGAGATTGGGCCACCTCTGCAGCCTCTTGAATGATAGTCCTTGGTATACACATTCATAGCTTGGATCTATGGACCATATCGAAGTCTTGTTAATCCTCTGAGAAATCTCATACTTTCTTCCTGTCTTCTGAATCATAACATGTTCACTAGTGGTACCCAAAGAGTCCGGGCCCTCCTGACTCAGCTGACACTCACCTAGTGTACTGGCTAGTTTGGTGTCAATTTGACACAAGCTGGAGTTATCACAGAGAAAGAAGCCTCCCTTGAGGAAATGCCTCCATGAGATCCAGCTGTAAGGCATTTTCTCAATTAGTGATCAAGGGTGGGAGGGCCCATTGTGGGTGGGGCCATCCCTAGGCTGGTTGTCCTGGGTTCTATAAGAAAGCAAGCTGAGCAAGCCAGGGGAAGCAAGCCAGTAAGCAGCACCCTCCATGGCCTCTGCATCAGCTCCTGCTTCCTGACCTGCTTGAGTTCCAGTCCTGACTTCCTTTGGTGATGAACAGCAGTGTGGAAGTGTAAGCTGAATAAACCTTTTCCTCCCCAACTTGCTTCTTGGTCATGATGTTTTGTGCAGGAGTATAAACCCTGACTAAGACATCTGGTTTTGCTGTTGGTTTTTAGTCATTGCTTTGTTATTGTTATTGTTATTGTTTGAGACAAGGTCTCCTGTAGCCCAGGCTGGCCTCAAATTTGCTGTGTAGCTGAGGCTGGCCTTGAACTCCTGATCCTCCTGCCCCCACCTTGCAAGTGCTGTAGGCATGTGATACCACACCTGGCTTGTATTTTGCTTTTAGTAAATCCAATTTTGTTTTAAATTTGTTTAGAAAGTCTATTTATTTATTATGTGTATGGGTGTCTTGTCTGCATGTATGTTTATGTACCATGTGCACGCCTCATGCTGGCAGAGGCTGAAAGAAGGTATTGGATTTCCTGGAACTGCAGCTTCTCCATGGCTGCTGGGAACCAAACTCATGTCCTGTGTAAGAGCATCCAGTGTTCTCAAATGCTAAGCCATCTCTCTCCCAAAGCTCGTGCCAGTTTATTGGGTGTCAAATACTGTGAGCCAGTCTCATGGATGTCATCTCGGTTTGTCCTCTCAGCTCCAGGACACTGCCAGGCTCAGCAGAGCCGTTCCACTGTAGCCTGGAACCCTACAGGGGATAAACTGGGGGTCAATGTCAAGTCCACGGTGCTTCCTTTGTCTTTCCCCCATACCTGGCCCTACATTGTCAGACACCTGTTATTCGAATGTATTCAGTCCAGTTTTCATGGCTGGCTACTTCCTGTATGGGATCACATCTGGTCTGAGTGTTAAATGGCAAAAAATGTGAAGATAAACTGGAAAGAACCTTCCAGGAGCTTTTCTTCTGTTTCTCTGGAGCCTCGGTGCTCTCACACATCTGAACAGGGTTATACCCTGCAGTGGGAGATATTTAAATCTCCAACCCAAATAGGACTGGTCAATGAAAACACAACACAGTAATTATGACTATATTCTGTAAGCCTAGATTGGGCAGATAGCCCTACACTACTCTGTTCCCCAGCTATGAGACCCTTATAACTTGCAGGTTTTCCAGACCCTGAGTCTGTCCTTCTACCTCCTGCTCCCCAGTCATCCCCTCCTTTGTCGTCTTCCTCCTCCATTGTTGTCCTCCAGCCCTCCCCTCTGTTCTCTTCCACCAACCTTTATTTCTCCACCTCTGCTTCCTCTGCCCAGTCACTGGCTCCAGCCTTTATTTTACAAATTAAAATGGGCAGAAGGTTCACTAGAAATCACCTGTATAATGGCTCACACCTCCTCTGCAGCCCTTCACAGGAAAGGGAATTAGTATCGAAATACAAGGCTGGGACTATCCACAACAATAACCGTTCTTCCCATTCTGAGCTTGGCCTCACTCTTTCCAAGGCCTAAACAGAGCCTAAAGGCTCACATTCCTCACTGTCCCCTTTAGTTGTTCCTTCAGAGTCCACTCAGTATCTTACACAAAATAAACACACTAAAAATGTGTCCCAACTTGTATATTAAAGGGGACTTAAAAGACACTATGATGCCGGGCGGTGTTGGCACACGCCTTTAATCCCAGCCCTTGGGAGGCAGAGGCAGGCGGATTTCTGAGTTCGAGGCCAGCCTGGTCTACAGAGTGAGTTCCAGGACAGCCAGGACTGCACAGAGAAACCCTGTCTCGAAAAACCAAAAAAAAAAAAAAAGACACAATATGAGATCCAATGAGATGACCCAGCAGGGCAAGTCCACAACCTGAATTGGAACCCCAGGACTTACGTGGGAGAAGGAGAAAAAGTAAACCCACACAAGTTGTCCTCCACTCTACATACATACATGTATGCACACACATGCGCACATGCAAACACATGAATGTATACATGCTAATGTACACTCTCTCACATGTGCGCACACACACACACACACACACACACTAGGAGGGACTGGAGAGGTGGCTCAGCAGTCAAGAGCATTGCTTCTCCTCGGGGCCTCAGGCTCAGCCATCAGCGTTCACACCAGGCTATAATTCCTGCTCCAGGGGACCCACTACCGGTTTCTGGTCTCTTCAGGCACCTCAGGTATGTGATACGTGCATTCGAGCAAAATGCCCATACACATAAAATAAAAAGAAACCTTAAAACAAAACATGACAGCGCCTCACTCTGTAGCAGTGGCTGGCCTGAAATTCATAGAGATCTGACTGCTGTGTCTCCTGAATGCTGAGATTAAAGGTGTGTGGCCATCATGCCTGGCAAGAAAATAAATCTTAAAAACAAACAGGGAGAAGGGAGGGGAGATGATGGTGATGATGGTGATGATGATGATGATGGAGCTAGAGATGGCTCTGCAGTTAGGAGCACTGGCTGCTGTTGCAGAAGACCTGGGCTTGTTCCCAGAGCTGACATGGTATCTCACAGTTGTCTTTAACTCCCATTCCACAGGAGCCAGCATTCTCTTCTGGCCTTCTTGGGCACCCACATGATGCACGGACCCAGATCCAGGCTGAACACCCATATGCATAACATTGTAAAGATAAATAAAAATGTTTTTTTTTCAAAGATAACCTTTAAAGAAAGACACAGCATTGAATGAGTAACGCTTGAACCGTAGTGTGCGTGGCGAGAAGCTGCGCTAAAACCGTTAGTTCCGTTGAGTTTGGGTCCTTACTACGGAAATAAAGGCAGTACTTATTTTTGGAGGGATTGGAGGGTGTGAGGGGTTGGGAGTCAGATGAGGCAGATACAAACTGAGGAGTTGAAACTTTTGTTTAAGGGGTTGGTGGGGTGGGGGATGTAACCCAGAGCCTCCAGCAATGAGCACGAAACTTCACTACGCTCCAGACCTGAAGACCGGGTTCTTGGCACAAGCGCAGCACTGAGAGTGTTTGTACTGTAATTATAATTTATTTGAGGTAATTTTTGCAAGCAAGTTATTATTATAGTTAAAGCGAAAACTTGGGACAGGGTCTGGGCCTGGGGTTCTAGCAGAGTAGCTAGAGTGATTGCTAGAATCTGTCAAGCCCCGATGCTTCTGCGCAGCTGTGAACACATTCTGAAGGATTTTATCAAACAGGCACAAGCACGTTAGACAAAACACGGAAGTGGGCAGTGCAAGGCTAGGAAGGGAACTAAAGATAGCCTGACGCAATTTGGCTGCGGGCCTGCAACATTCCAACTCTCTGAAGTCCTAGTAGTCACCCTTGGAGAAACTGACACACGTGTGGCTTTTTCTGCAGAATTTCACTTCCCACACCTTAACCAAGTTTTCCTCTTAATTTGGTTCTTTGACAATTTCATACCTGTATGTATTGTGTTCTGGTTATTCTCTTTCCTCTCCCAGTTGGGAGGTTTTGTGACCCATTTAGTTTAACCAGGGCCATCTGTGTGACCCTTAGGTTAGAACTAATGGGTGGAGCTCTGTGCTGTCCCCAGTGGGTACACAACAGAAACCACCGACTCCCCTTTTCCTTAGCCTATTAGTAGGAAATAGTTCAACAGTGAGGGTGGGGTTAGGGCCCTCCCTCCTTCCCTCCCTCCCTCCCTCCCTCCAGGGGTGGCTGTGGATAGTTTTGTAGACCCAGGGCGTCCATCTTAAGCCAAGTGCTGGCAACTGCAGTAGCTGTGTCCTAGGTAGAACGTGGCGTTCACGGCTCCCGTGTAACTTGTGGGCCACTGGGTTATTTTTCTTTTCCCTTCTGGTTTTATGCCAACTAAGATGGGGGTCACTGAGGGGGTCCCCATCTCCTCAGAGTGGCTAGCAGACTGTGGTAGGAAGATCTGGGATCGGGAGATCTGGAGGGGGCAGGGCAGAGTGGCGGCCATGGAACTGGTCCCGGGGAGTCAGATTCTAGGAAGTGTAATAGTCTTGCCCAATTTTGTATCTCTGTACCCGTAAATTAAAACATCCCTTACCCCTCATCAGAAGTGCTTCTTTTTGCCGATTAGTGGAGTCCCACAACTGGCCATGGAGACTGCAGAGCATTTGAATGTAAATGCGCCATCTCCATCTGCTGCGCCCCCTCCCTCCACAGTTCAGGGAGGTTCAGGGATCCTCCCGGAAGAGTGGGTTGAAAGACTGAGGGACTGCCGTGAAACAGGATTCCTGGACATGACAGTGGGGTCACACACATAAACTCATAGCAGCTGTGACAGTCTGTGTAAGATCAAGCTGGTCCACACCCTAGCCTGTGTGGAGGTGACAATTGCTGTAGCTGAGGAGCTGCTGACAGTTTATGGCTGCCCGGGCAGACAAAACCCTTTTTTCTTCAGGGATGCAGACCCTGAGAGGCTGCCTGTACTTGCTCCAGTAGACGGTCCCACACCAGTGCACCATAAGTAGCACTAATGGGCTCAGTGGGTGGGGAGGGAAGCTGGAGGGATGGCTCAGTGGTTAGCAGCACTGGCCGCTCTCCCAGAGGACCTGGGTTTGATCTGTAGCACCTGCATGGTGGCTCACGGTGTTAACTCCAGTTCCAGGCTATCTCACTGTGCTCTTTTGGCCTCTTGGGACACCAGGCATGCACATGATGCATAGATTACTCTCAGTCAAAACATCTATACACATAAAATCATAAAATAATAATTATTTTAAATAATAAATAAAAATGAAGTTGTTGTAGGAAATAGAAGATGGATTGGAGGGGAGAGATTGGGGTAGATTTGATGAAAACACTACATGTATGAATAATAAAATATTTTAAAAATAAGTTAACAATTTTTTTTTAATTTTAGAAAGCGTAATGAGAACTAATCACAGTTGTCCATGGATCCCGCACAGCGCTAGAGAGCACTGAGGTCAGTACAGAACTACTTGAACAGCCAGAAGCTGGGAAGAGGCAGGTCACAGGGTGGAGTCGGGACAAATGAGCGGGTTGGCTCTGGAAGAGCCTATCCGGGAAGAGCGAGCTCGCCCGAAGGTCGCCTTTTGGGGGGGGAGTCGCTTTCCCAGATCACGTGGTGGCGTTGGCGGCTGCGCGCGCGGCGATGGCGGCCTCCGGGGAGCAGGCTCCACGCTCCGTGTACTTCTGCGGGAGCATCCGCGGCGGGCGCGAGGATCGAGCGCTGTACGCGCGGATCATATCGCGGCTGCGGCGCTATGGGAAGGTGCTCACTGAGCACGTGGCTGATGCTGAGTTGGAGTCGCGTGGTGAGTCGGCGCGGCCTGGAGACTCGCAGACTAGGGGGTCTGGAGGCTAAGAGGACTGGCTGACTAGGGACTTGCCCGCTAGGGGACCCACTGGCTGGAGGACCTGCAAACTATTGCATCCGCAGTCTAGGGGACCCGCAGGCTAGACCTGTAGGTTAGGGGGCCTGAAGACTAGGACCTATAAGATAGGGGACCGGCTGGCAGAGGAAGGTCCTGGTTCATGTCTCTTCTGCATGTGCACGCCCCATGCGCACATCGAATGACCCTATCCAGCGCACTGGAAGCAAGTGAGAGCCCAGACCCAGCACTGGACTCGCAAGGCTTTGATGAGCTCTTCTGGATTTAGCACTCCTCCGATAGGAAAGTTGTAGCTAGAAACGCTTGTACTTTTGCTCCAAAAAGTAGTTCTCCCTTGCCCCAAGCAAGAACAGACTCCTGAACTGTGGACTCTAATGCAATTCCGGGAGAATCTTTTAAAAGACAACGAATCACTAGGCAAAAATGCCAGAGGATTGGAAAGGACCTGTTTGTGCTTACACTTGGCTAGCTCATGGCTTGTTTGGTTGATAGTCCTCTGCCTTCAGTGCCAATACCAGCACTCTGGAGGCTGAAGGAGGATGAGTTCCAGGCCAACCTGGGCAACAGAGTTAGACCCTGTCTCAAAGAAAAATGAGACAAAATACCTACTGAGTGTGATAGCCTGGGGGAAACCTTTGAATCTGGTTTTCCTCCCCTGGTTACTTTATTTTCTTGTTTTTTTTGTTTTTGTTTTTGTTTTTGTTTTTTTTGGAAACGGGCTGTCATGTAACCCACAGTGACCTCAGACTTGCTGGGTAGCAGTGGATGGCCTTGAACTCTCGATCTTTCTGCCTCTGCCTCCCAGGTGCTAGAATTACAGGCACCTGTCGCTACTCTCAACTTGTTTTTTGAGGCAGGGTCTCTCTACATATCCCTGTATATCATGGTACTTACAGTGTAGACCAGGCTGTGTTGGAACTCAGAGATTCCCCCAGCCTCTGCCTCAGGGGCTGGGATTATAGGTATGTGCCACCATCCTCCGGCTCACAAAAGAATTTTTGGACAGTGTGGTTCTGGTCTGCCACCCACAGAGCCTTACCATCCTGAACAGCATCGTTTATTCAGACTGGAAGCCGCGATCCTGGCCATCTGACCCCAGTTATGTCTCTTGGATTCAGAGTTGAGTCAGACCTTCCTCCACATTCACCCAGCCCCAGCCACTTGCGCCACCTTACACAGGATTGCATTTTTCTTGTGTCTGTTTCGTTCTTCACCCTGTTGACAGACTCCTCTCCTGGACAGGGCTTTCAAAGTGCTGGAGCATGGGGTCCCCCTCTCTTCCCCTCCCTGAGCAGGGTATATAGGAAAAGCAGCAAGAATATAGACGTTACTGGGCACTGACTTGGGGTGGGGAACATCCTTGACCAGCATGCCCTCAATCCCAGGGGAAGAGGCTGCTGGGGGTGACCAGCTCATCCATGATCGGGACCTGGCCTGGCTGCGGCAGGCAGATGGTGAGTAGTCCTCCCTCCTGCCTGTGGGCTCCTCTGTGATGTCAATTCCTGGGATATCCCTGGCCTTACCATCCCCACCACAGATATACCATCATCCTGACCTTAAAAGTCCCAGGTACTAAATCTTATTTTTCTTTCGTTCCAGTGGTCGTGGCCGAAGTGACACAGCCATCCTTGGGTGTGGGCTATGAATTGGGCCGGGCAGTAGCTCTTGGTAAGCCAATTCTATGCCTGTTCCGACCACAGTCTGGCCGAGGTGAGTATTCCAGTCCAGGGTGGCTTACTCCTTCCTGGCTTTCTGGCAACTCCATACCCGTTTCTTCCTTTCCCAGTGGACTGGGGCAGGGAGCAGAGTGGGGAACATGGAAAGGAGTCGGTTTCACATTTTCCCTCTTCCCAGTGCTTTCTGCCATGATCCGGGGAGCAGCCGACGGCTCGAGGGTCCAGGTGTGGGACTACGCAGAGGGAGAGGTGGAGAGCATGCTCCATCGGTATTTTGAGGCTTATCTTCCCCAGGGAACAGCTTCCTCCAGTAACCCAAGTGCCTGACTTAACCCGACTTTATTAAAAAAGAATAAATTTATTTTTTACGTATATTTTCACTGCATGTATGTATGTAACCGCATTCATCCTCATGCCCAGAGGTCAGAAGAGGGTACCACATTCTCTGGAACTGGTATTACAGATAGTTGTTGGCCTCTATGTAGATGCTGGGAACTCAACCCGGGTCCTCTGCAAGGGCAACAAGTGCTCTGAGCTGCTGAACCTTCTCCTTGGTCCTGGCCCAACTTTATTAAATGCTGCCCCCTGACATTTCCCTGGATCATTCCTGCTCCAGCCTCAGTATTAAGAAAAGGTTCATTTGGCTGGGTATGGTGGCACAACCTCAGGAGGCACAGTGTGGTGGTTTGAATATGCTTGACCTAGGGACTGGCACTATTAGGAGGTGTGGCCTTGTTGGAGGAAGTTTGTCACTGTCTGGGTGGGCTTTGAGACCCTCCTCCTAGCTGCCTGAAAACAGTCTGCTCCTGGCTTCCTTTCCTTGAAGATGTAGAACTCTCAGCTCCTCCTGTACCCTGCCTGCCTGGACGCTACCACGCTCCTACCTTGATGATAATAGACTGGACCTGTAAGCCAGCCCCAATTAAATGTTGTCCTTTATCAGAGTTGCACCGGGGACTGGGGTATTGCTGTGATAGACATGACCATGCTTCCGTTTGGAGGAATGTGGACTTCGGGACTTTGGAAAGCAGTGGAGTGCTTTAAATGGTGTTTAATGGGCTGTCCTGCAGGAATATGGAAGACTTTGTTGCTGAGAGTTCTACATCTTCAAGGAAAGGAAGCCAGGGGCAGACTGTTTTCAGGCAGCTAGGAGGAGGGTCTCAAAGCCCACCGCCACGGCGACATACTTCCTCCAACAAGGCCACACCTACTGCAACAAGGCCACATCTCCTAATACTTCAACTCCCTGGACCAAGCATATTCAAACCACTACACATCGGCAGGTAGATTTCTGAGTTCAAGGCCACTGTGGTCTATATAATGAGTTCCAGGACAGTCAGACCTATGTAGAGAGACCCCGTCTCAAAAACAAAAAACTGTCTACACTGGCAGTGCTGGGACTGGCCCTGGCTTTTCCATCCCACTTCACTGTAGAAAATAGAAGGGCCCTGCTTTAACTAGGTCCCCAGGAGAAAGACACCTTGTCACACCCTTCTGGCCCTGGGGAGCACTTCGGTATGGAAGGGCCAGGTATTGGGTGGGCTGCATTCCTGTCATCTCTGAACCTAGATCTGTGTTTCCGGTTATGACTTGAGGTTAAGTGAGACTTTGGCTTTCTCAGAGGACAGAAAAGTCTGGACGTCTAAGGAAAACAGGAAAGGAGGAGGAGGGCTGGTGAGGGCTGGTGAGCTGGCTCAGCAGGTGTAGGTGCTTCACCTCAAGCCTGAAGACCTGGGTTCTATCCCAAGCACCCATGTGGAAAAGACACCTGACTCCTGGATGCTGTTCCCTGACCTCCATACCAACACACGCACTGTGGCGTGTGCACACATGCAGTCTGACCTCCATACCAGCACACGCACCATGGCGTGTACACACATGCAGTCTCATGTTTTGAAGAATGAGAAGAGTGTTGTGAGGAAATTCGAAGGGCGGGAGGTGAGAGGCGGTGCTCCGCCTGTGAAGCGTGTGAAAAAAAGAGGTTTATTCAGTAAACAGAAGGTGCTTCAGACACTGGGATACCCGTCACGTGACACTCTGCGGCTGCGGCGCGGGCAGCTCCAGGTGTTTCCTGCCCCTCCCCCTCAGTCATAAGATTCATCATCTTCATCCTCATCACCAAAGAAGAAGGTCTCTCGGTCCAGGTTCTCAGACTCCTCGTCATACGAGAAGCTGTCATTGTCTAGTTCCTCCTCAAACTCGTGCTGCCACTCAGGCATATCCTCCTCCTCCTCTTCTTCTTCCTCCTCCTCGTCTTCCACTTCCAGCCCTGAGGAGCCCTGGGGCCTAGGGAGAGCCATCACACTCAGCCCGAGAAGCCTGCATTCCTCTTCCCCTCCCCAGGGCTCTGCCCAGCCTACTCACGGATCACTCGGCACGTTGGACCTTTTCACCTCCCGGGTCTCTACTGAGGGACTCTGCAGCCCAACCCGGAAGTCCTGGCAAGGAGACAGGAGGGTCTGAGGAGCAGAAGCGCAGAGGCTACTGGGCCTCGGGCCTGGCATCCTTCCCCCTGGTGATTCCTGAGAGCCAGACTCTCAGGAGCGTCCATCCAGGCTCTGCAGTTTAACCTGGAAGTCTTCCATGGCCTGCGCTGTGCAGCAGGTATCCTGTCTGGTTACTAAGCAGTCAGCAAGGGACCCAAGAACAAGGTTCATAGTTTGGGCTCCAAACCCGCGCTCCAGAGCTGTCAAGAGCCCTGCAGATCTTTTACTCCCCAAACCCCGCACAGCCCCGATCCCCTACATGTTGGAGTATGGTCTGAGGAAGTACTGGCTGCCACTGACGAGCACCTGGCCCCAGACCCCTGATTTGGGGAAAACCCATTCCTTCGTAAGAAGCCCCAGGAGGTTAAGTGTCACAGCAGACTGGCTCAGGCCCCCTGACACCACCACACCCCCTAATTTTTATTTTTCTTTTGAGACAGGGTTTCTCTTTGTAGCTCTGGCCATTGTGGAACTCACTCTGGAGACCAGGCTGGTCTCAAACTCAGAGACCTGCCTGCCTCTGGCTCCCCAGCGCTGGGATAAAGGCATACCATGGGCCTACTAACAGCCCTTGAGCCCCTCGAGTGTTTCCCTCAGGACTCCCGCAGGGAGGACTGTCAGGGCAGTACCTGGGTCGAGTGTTGTAAGATGGCCAGCAGCCTCTCCTGGATCCTCCGGAGCAGCTCTGTGCCTGTGCTGAGGCAATCCGGCCGCAGGAGGCGCAGGGAGGAGGCCAGGTCCTGGCAGCGCAGCACAGTCTCCTCTGCAGGGGCAAGGCCAGGACTTGCTCTCTTCTCCCAGCCATTCCTTCCCCCCACAAACACCTACGGAGCAGCCACCAAGTGCCAGGCAGAGCTGTCAAGACTCGTGCTCACCCGCCAGGAGCACATCTGTGACCCAGGCCCTTGGGTCACGGGCTTTAGACCTGAGAGAGGGGAGGGAAGCCTAGGCAGAATGAGGGGGAGAAAAGGCACAGAGCGAAGGCAGGGCCTTGGACAGACTGTCTGACAGGGCATTGGTGCTGGGCTCACCGAGAAGGATCTGCAGGGCGTTCGTGTGCAGCTCCAGGTTCTCGGTCTGCTGCTCTACCACATCCATGGACTCTGTGTCCTGGCTGTAGAAGCTGTAGACACAGGCATAGGCCAGCACCTGGGGAGCCCCAGCAGTACACCCAGCCTGAGTCCCGGCACCTCCACCTCACTTGCCCTCTTCTGGGTTCCTCCATCCAAGCCCACTCAGCCCCTTGGCCGGCACACCCCTCCCCTTATTGCCTCCCCCACTGCTACAACCTTTCGAGCCTGCTCGAGGGCCCGGCAGGCATCTTGTAGGAAGGTGAAGGATTTGGGCGGAGGCACCTCATGGATGGCAGAGGCCTGGTTCCGCAGGTTGATAGCAAACTCCTGTATGAGGCAAGTGTTGTCATAGCCCTTGAGGTCTGTACTTCGGGCAGCTCCCCCTGGGCCTCCCAGTGCAGTCACGCAGCCCTCTGATGGCCCACCCACTGACCACAGCTCACCCGGGCCTGGTGGTGGAAGGTACACCTCTCGTTATAGTCCTGAAACCGCTTCTCCTGGCGAGCTGCTTTGCTCACCTGGTGAGGAGGATACATGGAGGGGTGGCTGGGTGCTTGTTCTGACAGGCTGGGGTTCTTAGAAGGGCCACTATCCATAATGCCCCTCTACACTTCACCCAGAACTATCATGTAATCCTCCGGCTGAGTCCTAATATTGGTCTTCCTTTCACGGAAGTGCTGAGGCCCATCTCCAGCCGGAGCATGCAGGAGGCCCCACTCCACACTCCTTGCCCGGCTCTGATGCCTGCTTGCCCTGCCTTGCTCATTCCAGGCTGTCTTTGGCCACCCAGTGGAGGCGGTGTGCCCAGAACAGAGTTCCCTGAACTTCAGGCCTCAGCAGCTCCTGTTAACCTTTGTTGGGACTGCTACCCCACTGTTCTGGGAACCCACTTCTGGCTGTCCTGACTGGCTGGGCCTCAGCCACGCCACGCCCCTTACCATGGCGGAGCAGTTGTAGTAGTCCTTGTGGCTTGGCTTCCAAGACTTGAGGCAGCGCCAGCAGAAGCCATGGTTGCATCTCGCACAGGTCATGCTATGGACGATTTGAGCTTGTCAGAAGGCATTTGCCTCTGGATAAGGATTCCAGGGGACCCGGGGGCTAGACACCCCAGTGACAAGCTGTCTTTTCCAGCTGCCCTCCAGGCTCCATCTTCCCAAGTCCTGCTAAGTACACCCTTGCTTTGAACTTCCCACACAGCTGAATTAAAGCCTGGGTGGAGGAATCCAGGAGGTGACCCTTGGGGACACTGAGTATGGGCCGTAGATTTGACGAGCTTTCACAGTAAGCTCGAGTGTCTTCCTTACTGCCCAGCCTCCCCCATGCCATGCTCCCGGACCCCCTGGACCCCTTCTTACTGCAGACACCCCTCGTTCTTCTCGATAGGCGCCTGACAGCTGGGACAGCGTTTGGAGATGAGCTTGGCCAGGTGCTTGCTCTGGGCCTCCACACTCATGCCATCATAGTAGCCGCCATCATCGACCCACTGGGACATGTGGCCGCAGCTGGCAGGGTAGTGTGCCTAGGTGGGCAAGTGTGAGGAGGCACAGCCAGCTTAGCCACCTCACATCTGTGTGTGCGAGCACAGGTGCTGGGCAGGGAAGGAGCGGAGCACCCACCTCAGGAAAGCTACAGCTGAAGCAAGAGGCCCAGCCGCACTTGGAGCAGGTGGTCCCGCTGCCCAGGCCCTGGCGGCACAGGATCCGGTCACAGCCCTGAGGGTTGGTGCACCATGTCAGGTTGGAGCAGCTTTCCACGTAGCCTCGCAGAAGGGCCTTCTCATACTGTGGGCAGAGGCGAGTGCAGACGCTGTGAATT